TTTTAATGTTGGGTTGGTACTGCTGATCGGTGGATTAAAATAACTTATTGAATATGTTTTCTGGGTTAAATCTAAACCTTTTTGTATGAAATGTTTTTTTCCATCGGTTATAATTATTGAGTTATACAAGATAATTGTTGAAAAGTCAAAATTTCTATTTTTCTTGAGTTAGGTTGGTACTGCTGATCGGTGGATTAAAATAACATATTGGATGTGTCTTATGGGTTTATTGTAAACCTTTTTTGTATGAAATGTTTTTTTCCATCGGTTATAATTATTGAGTAATAGAAGAAAATTGTTGAAAACGTCAAAATTTCTATTATTCTTGAGTTGGGTTGGTACTGCTGATCGGTGAATTAAAATAACTTATTGGATATGTTTTATGGGTTAATTCTAAACCGTTTTTGTATGAAATGTTTTTTTCCATCGATTATAATTATTGAATTATAAAAGAAAATGTTTGAAAACGTCAAAATTTTATATTTTTCTTGAGTTGGGTTGGTACTGCTGATCGGTGGATTAAAATAACTTATTACATATGTTTTATGGGTTAATTCTAAACTTTTTTGTATGAAATATTTTTTTCCATCGGTTATAATTATTGAGTTATAGAAGAAAATTGTTGAAAACGTCAACATTTTGTATTTTTCTTGAGTTGGGTTGGTACTGCTGATCGGTGGATTAAAATAACTTATTGGATATGCTTAATGGGTTAATTTTAAACCTTTTTTGTATAAAATGTTTTTTCCACCGGTTACAATTATTGAGTTATAGAAGAAAACGTTTGAAAACTTCAAAATTTTATATTTTTCTTGAGTTGGGTTGGTACTGCTGATCGGTGGATTAAAATAACTTATTGGATATGTTTTATGGGTTCATTCTAAACCTTTTTTGTATGAAATGTTTTTTTCCATCGGTTATAATTATTCAGTTATAGAAGAAAATTGTTGAAAACGTCAAAATTTCCATTTTTTTTTTAGTTGGGTTGGTACTGCTGATCGGTACATTAAAATAACTTATTGGATATGTTTTATGGGTTAATTCTAAACCCTTTTTGTATGAAATGTTTTTTCCATCGGTTATAATTATTGAGTTATAGAAGAAAATGGTTGAAAACGTCAAAATTTAATATTTTTCTTGAGTTGGGTTGGTACTGCCGATCGGTGGATTAAAATAACTTATTGGATACGTTTTATGGGTTAATTCTAAACCTTTTTTGTATGAAATGTTTTTTTCCATCGGTTATAATTATTGAGTTATAGAAGAAAATTGTTGAAAACGTCAAAATTTCCATTTTTCTTGAGTTAGGTTGGTACTGCTGATTGGTGGATTAAAATAACTTATTGGATATGTTTTATGGGTTAATTCTAAACCTTTTTTGTATGAAATGTTTTTTTCCATCGGTTATAATTATTGAGTTATAGAAGAAAATTGTTGAAAACGTCAAAATTTCCATTTTTCTTGAGTTAGGTTGGTACTGCTGATTGGTGGATTAAAATAACTTATTGGATATGTTTTATGGGTTAATTCTAAACCTTTTTTGTATGAAATGTTTTTTTCCATCGGTTATAATTATTGAGTTATAGAAGAAAATTGTTGAAAACGTCAAAATTTCCATTTTTCTTGAGTTAGGTTGGTACTGCTGATTGGTGGATTAAAATAACTTATTGGATATGTTTTATGGGTTAATTCTAAACCTTTTTTGTATGAAATGTTTTTTTCCATCGGTTATAATTATTGAGTTATAGAAGAAAATTGTTGAAAACGTCAAAATTTCCATTTTTCTTGAGTTAGGTTGGTACTGCTGATTGGTGGATTAAAATAACTTATTGGATATGTTTTATGGGTTAATTCTAAACCTTTTTTGTATGAAATGTTTTTTTCCATCGGTTATAATTATTGAGTTATAGAAGAAAATTGTTGAAAACGTCAAAATTTCCTTTTTTTTTTAAGTTGGGTTGGTACTGCTGATCGGTGGATTAAAATAACTTATTGGATATGTTTTATGGGTTAATTCTTAACCTTTTTTGTATGAAATGTTTTTTTCCATTGATTATAATTATTGAATTATACAAGATAATTGTTGAAAAGTCAAAATTTCCATTTTTCTTAGGTTAGGTTGGTATTGCTGATCGGTGGATTAAAATAACATATTGGATGTGTCTTATGGGTTTATTGTAAACCTTTATTGTATGAAATGTTTTTTCCATTGGTTATAATTATTGAGTAATAGAAGAAAATTGTTGAAAACGTCAAAATTTCTATTATTCTTGAGTTGGGTTGGTACTGCTGATCGGTAGATTAAAATAACATATTGGATATGTCTTATAGGTTTATTGTAAACCTTTTTTTGTATAAAATATTTGTTTCCATCGGTTATAATTATTGAGTTATAGAAGAAAATTGTTGAAAACGTCAAAATTTCCATTTTTCTTGAGTTGGGTTGATACTGCTAATCAATGGATTAAAATAACTTATTGTATACGTTTTATGGGTTAATTCTAAACCTTTTTTGCATGAAATGTTTTTTTCCATCGGTTATAATTATTGAGTTATAGAAGAAAATTGTTGAAAACGTCAAAATTTCTTTTTTTCTAAGGTTGAGTTGATACTACTGATCGGTGGATTAAAATAACTTATTGGATACGTTTTATGGGTTAATTCTAAACCTTTTTTGTATGAAACGTTTTTTTCCATCGGTTATAATTATTGAGTTATAGAAGAAAATGATTGAAAACGTCAAAATTTTATATTTTTCTTGAGTTGGGTTGGTACTGCTGATCGGTGGATTAAAATAATATATTGAATATGTTTTATGAGTTAATTTTAAACCTTTTTTGTATGAAATGTTTTTTTCCATCGGTTATAATTATTGAGTTATACAAGATAATTATTGAAAAGTCAAAATTTCCATTTTTCTTGAGTTGGGTTGGTACTGCTGATCGGTAAATTAAAATAACATATTGGATATGTCTTATGGGTTTATTGTAAGCCTTTTTTGTATAAAATGTTTTTTTCCATCGGTTATAATTATTGAGTTATAAAGGCTTTCTATGCTTTCTACCTTTTTTCGAAGTTCTTTTTGTACTATTGGTGCCATGTTTTGGAGAAACTTTATGTTTTGAATGTTTAGACTTTCGTACATGACTTTTAGAACTTTCAATTCTTTCATCAAAAGTTTTCGTGCTGCTATCATCACCATGTTTTAAAGATTTATGCTGAATTATTAGAAGTATGTGAATGAGCTTTGGAACCATCGACTACACTTTCATCAGAATGTTCGTGTTTTATCGTTTTTTTATGCAAATTAAGCGAGTCAATGGTACTAACATCTTAGCTATCATCATGAGTGCTCGAAGACTTATGATGGCCGTGATGTTTGCTTGAATGTTTTTTTTATGATGAAATAAATGCTGGGCTTTAATCATGCAAATAGATTTTAAACTTTAGGTTTAGCTCTTCCACAAAATAAATTAGTTTGACGATTTTTGGGTTGTTTTTCCTATTTGTAACAATATCAAAATAATGTTGGGAAATAGATCCAATTCTCATCCTTAACATACATCCTTGCACCTATCAACATTGTTTTTGAATGTTTTTTTGATTTTGCTTTTCTAACATTATTAATAGGCAATAATATTTACTGATATTATTTATAATAAACAATATTAAACAATTTAAAAAAATTACAAATGACACTACCATATGTTTGAAAATCAATTTTAACTCAATTATTTTAAGTTTTTTTTTTCCAGTACACGGAAGAAATTCTAACTGACCAATGTACAGTTATCGAGCGCATATCGGTTCGTAGGAAGACATCGACCATCAATAAACCATAAACCCGTTAATATATTTTTCAACGAACCATACTAAACCGATGGAAAAGAAAAATTCTTTTACACCACATCGTTTTCTTAACGAAGAAATTAAGAAATTTCTTTCCGGATTAGTCGATTTAAAAGGTACCTTGTGACAAGGTCGTTATTACCTGGAAGCTAAAGATAAGTCACCGCGCGTGACTTATACCAATGAGTGAGTAGAAAATGAATCATTATTTCCAAGTTACTTTGCAAAAGACTTCCTATTGAGTTTTAGTTTACTACGATTACTCAGGCATTTTTTTGTAACATTTTTTTGTTGACCAAATAATTTCTTAGGAAATCAACAAATTTTTTTTAATAATTACGAATTATTTATAAGAATAATTTAAAACCACAACAACTCAAGAATAGATAAACAAATTAATTTTTTTATAATTTGACCTTTAATGTCTTTTAAAATAATAATAGACGCATTTCCTTCCACATTTGTTGTTTAATCATCAACGAAACAATGTTAACAAATTGTGCCAGAGCTTTTTATCGGTTTGAAAGCGATAATAAAAGAAGAAGCGTGTTTGATTAATGTTGAATACCACGCGAATTAGTCACAAGATTATTTTATCGAATTATTTATTAATCGGGACGCACCTCTGTTTAATTTTAATACACAATTTGAATCATCTAACGTTTCGATTCAATTCCTTTTTGTGTGTTTAATTCGAATAAATTTTTTTATCTTATGTAACTATTTAAATTGCAAAAAAGAATTGGTTAAAAAACACTTTTAATTTCAAAATGTTGATTTTCCCAGTTTGAATTGAAATTTAGGTTGGGTTCAATTTATTTTAATTCCTGGAAGGAAGTTCTTTGTGTATTGTTAAATTCTAAAAAATTCTAAAAACATTTTTTTCTGAGAAAAATATTGCATGCAAATTAGGTCCAATAAAACTTTTTGTACGAAATGTTAAGATTCTTAGAAAACTTGAGTGGTTATAAAAACCAGGTAGATTCTTTTTTTGGTCTAAATTTAGATTAAACTTTTTTTGCAACAAAATAAGTTGCTATGTTCACCAAGTTTTGTGATAAACTAGAAATTTCCTTGTGGTCTTTATGACACAAGAATTCTAAGAAATTATTTTATTGTAACATTTTAAATTAAAAATGTAATAATTAAACACACTCACCTCAAACAAAAATATAAAAACACCCTCCTTTTAAAACTTTAAATGTAATTAACACCATGAAACCATATAGATCATAAAAACCAACTTTCTTCGCGAACACATCGAATGCATTTGAAGTTGGTGGGGAAATTGAAGTTTGTTGTGAGCACGTTGTTCGCCCTACTCCTTTCAAAAACGGCGAGTTCTGGTTGGTTCTTACTCAAGTTGGGTTTTTACCAAAAATGATCTAAAAAAGGAAGAAATAAAACAAGCTTGGTTAAAAAAAATGTTATTTACAAGTTACAAAAAGTGTATTTTAATCAACTAGTTCTAACATGATTTGAATGAAATATATTGATTGAAGTTTCGTGGCAATTTCTTAAATCCATGTCGAAAACTCCCAAGGAAAATTTGTTTTCGGGCGGTTTAAAATAATCTAAACCTCTTCCGATTTTTATTATCCATCCGGAACTTAACCTAAAATTAATAAAAATAATTAAATAAATTAATTTTATTTTACAGAGTTCATTGTAGAATGAAGTTGTTAAACAACAGATGGCGCTCACCTTGTCAGAGATAACATGACAAGATAACTGTCAAATTTTGAAATGTATGAGATTGGGTGTAAACATAAAGGATAATGAGGTAAGTTTTTTTAATATGTGTATAAACATTATAACTTTCGAGTACACGCGCTCACACCAATTACATGTGGCGAATTGTGAGTCCGCTATTTCCAATAGAAACGATCATCAGGCAAAAGATGGCGCTGGTGTAGGTTGTTATATTTAAAATTTATTATTTACTTTTTTGTATTAAATTAATTACTTCATTGAAAAAAATATTCGTGCTACAACAATCAACGCTGTTAAAGAAATAATAGCCGATGTTGCCAACTCTATAACCTTCCAGTAAGTTTAGTGTTAGTTCAATAAAAATGTATAGCAACCTAGCACCATCCAGCGGTACCTAGCACTGTTTGAACTCGACCGAGTGGTCCTCAAATAAATTTAGAAAAACTTTTTAGTTTTAAAGCTGTTATTTTTTAACATTAATGGATAGAAAATTAAAAATCTTTTAAAATGAACCGAAACTCGACTTAGTTATCTCCAACCGTTGTTGAGATATCTTAATTATTAACAAAAAATGGCGACTATTTGACATTTGACAGTTTATAACTTAACTTTTTATTTTTTAACCCAAATGTATCATGTTTGGTATCAAATTAAAGCATTTTTGGTTCTTATCACTATAATTTCAATATTTGTCAAAAAATCATTATATTTAATTTTGACATTTGACAGTTTCGAACCTAACTTTTTATTTTTTAGCTCAAATATATAATCTTTGGTATCCAATTAAAGCATTTTTGATTCTTATCAAGACCATTTCAATATTTATCAAAAAATCGTTATATTTAATTTTGACATTTGACAGATTCTAACCTAACTTCTCATTTTTTAACCCAATTATATCATGTTTGGTATCAAATTAAAGCATTTTTGATTCTTGTTAAGATCATTTCAGTATTTATCAAATAATCGTTATATTTAATTTTGACATTTGACAGTTTCTAACCTAACTTTTTATTTATTAACTCAAATATATCATGTTTGGTATCAAATTAAAGCATTTTTGATTCTTATTCAGATCATTTCATAGTTTATCAAAAAGTCGTTAATTTAAGTTTGACATTTGATACATTCTAACCTAACATTTCTATTTTTTAACACAAATATATCATGTTTGGTTATAAGACTGTTCTTTTTTTAACATTAATGGATAGACAATTAAAAATCCTTTAAAATGACTTATTTATTTCCAACCGTTATCGAGATATCTTAATTTTTTAACACAAAAAGGCGATTATTTGACATTTGACAGTTTATAACCGAACTTTTTTATTTTTTAACCCAAATGTATCATTTTTGGTATCAAATTAAAGCATTTTTGATTCTTATCAAAACTATTTCAATATTTATCAAAAAATCGTTATATTTAATTTTGACATTTGACAGATTCTAACCTACATTTTTTATTTTCTAACCCAAATATATCATGTTTGGTATCAAATGAAAGCATTTTTGATTCTTATCAAGTGCATTTCGATATTTATCAAAAAATCATTATATTTAATTTTGACATTTGACAGTTTCTAACCTAAATTTTTTGTTTTTTAACCCAAATATATCATGTTTGGTATCAAATGAAAGCATTTTTGATTCTTATCAAGATCATTTCAATATTTATCAAAAAATCGTTATATTTAACTTTCACATTTGACAGATTACAACCTCAATTCTTTATTTTTTAACCCAAATATATCATGTTTAGTATCAAATTAAAGCATTTTTGATGCTTGTTAAAATCTTTTCAATATTTATCAAAAAATCGTTATATTTAAGGGGGTATTTAATATTTAAAGAGGTAATAACTTACATAATTTGTCGATCATGTAAAGTAGTTGAATATTCAACCTTTAAATTAACTTTATACTTCAACAGATCATTTTGAATACTGATTAACCAATTTTCTTGATCACTTTTATTATCCTTAGTTGTAATCAACGTCAGTGAAAATAAATTTTTACATTTTCTCACTAATAATTCGCAAAATCTCAAAAAATTTTGACACTGATGAAACAACCGGATATAAGGATCTTCAACAATTACATTTAACACATCTCCATCTAAAAATCTTCCAAAAACGGTTTCATATCCATACCCCGTTTCGTTGTCTCCAATGTTTATCTGTTCGTGATATTTTCCTTCATCTTTTAATTTATTAATGTTTAGTTTAATTTGTTCGGCGCGACTCATGTATTCCCCGATTTTACCACGAAGATAGGTTTTCTTTTGCTCTGGAGATTCTATTAGAGTTTATTTAAAACTTTAAAAAAATAATTTGAGGTTAGAAATTAAACTTACGTTTTAATGCCTTCATTAAAATTTGTATTCCTTCTTGGTAACATACTAAAGATTCGGTGTATCGTTTTTGTGTATCCAAGAGTACCGCTCGTTGAATTATTGTTGCTGCAACACTTTCAAAACTCATTTTAATAAATCTTTTTGTTGAATAGAAAACAAAGTTAATGTTTTGATGGAATATTTTGAATGGTATAGGCAACCAATTTAACAGGAGTGCGTTTTAAGATGCATATTATATAAAAACAACCTCAATATTATTGTACAATCCTTGTTTATAGATATACATATTGTATATCTATAAACAAGGGTACAATGTTATTTTGTGATTATCCTAGATGGCACAATAAGTTATTGTTCAATACTTTTCTGTATTGAAATTGAATTATGTACAATGAACCAAATGATTTTCGAAACTTCCAGCGGCCAGATGGACATACATCATTTGACGAACTTTAGAAAATGATTACAGAAATCTGTAAAGAGAATACAAATTGGTTTTCCAAACCAATTTATTTCTCCTTATATTTGGAAAGAAGTTCGCACTGTTCGTTTTTTTTATATGTTATGGTATTCTTCGCTCTTTATCTTCCACAGCACGGTCCAATCGGAAAAGGCGCTCCGTTCTAGACAGTACGTCGCGCCTTTATTTTACCTACATAAAGCAATAAAGGGGCCTTGACTTTTTTCACGAATAGTAGTGTAATGTAAGATATTAAAACATTTTATTACATTTATTTTTTTAAGGTTTAACAGGTTGGAAGATTTGTATTTATACAATTTTTATTAGGGTTGTACTTGTAAAAATTGCAACCACACTTATTAAAACCCTCAATTCTATTGGGAATATCAGAAGGATCTTTTTCTCGTGTAAACACAAATACTGTATCTGTAATAACATTAATGTGAGTTATTGTTGATGCCAAAAATTAGAATTTACCGTTCATAACAACAACAAGGTATCTTTTGCAATCAGCTCCAACGATTTTAGCTATTTCATCAGCTAAAAGATTTATAGATTAAAAAAGGAATCTGTAAGGTTTTTAAAGTTTTACTTGAATGGTGTTTATAAGTAGAACTGTTTCTTTCTCTTGTGGCGTATATTATTGATAATTCTGGATATTCACTGAAAATAAGTATCGTAGAAGTTGTAGGGAAAGATTTATTTTGTATACTAACCTTTCTTTTTTAATTAAGTGTTGCTTTTTAAGTAATCCCGGTTTAACTTCTGATATATTTCTTATTAAACAACAATTTTCGCATTTATCGCTTCCACCATAACCATACCATAATCCATAACACTAAAAATAAAAAATTTCAAATAAAGTTAATTTAATTTTGAAATAATTTTACAGCTTTTGCGGCCGCTTCGGTACTTTTATTAAGTGCGAAAGCTTCGCAATCGTTTGGAAGCGAAGCTTTAACTGTGAGAAACTCAAACATAATAATTATTGTTATAATCAGCAACATTTTAATGTTTTTAAAACGAATTGATTGTAAAATGAGTGGTTTATATAGGAATTGTTATCATTTTAATAAGCTTGTTAATAATGCAACAGTTTTTGTTGAAATTTCTTTATATTTTTTCTAATTATAAAGGAGTTTTTTGTATTATAACACATTTTAAGGTAAAAAGATATCCTTGAAAGGCACATTTTTAAAAATTCCATTTAAAACAGATTCTGTAACCGATTCCATAACAGATCCAAAAAAGGGAAAGGCATCTTTCGCGATTACATCCCAATTTTCGTTGAGATTTTTATTAAATTCATCATCTAAAACAAGAATTAATTAACTTTTTCTAATTACTTAGAGAAGAAACTTACTTAACTGTTGATTATCTCTAAAAAGCTTATCCATATAAAAATAAGTTCTTTTACTTTTAAAATCAAATTTTCTACTGGTTATTTCTAAATATTCCTCATTATGTTTTGGCTTTAATGTGTAATTTGCCCGGTACGTGTAAGAACCTTCCACTAAAATTTTTATATTTATTAATTTTTAATTTAATTTATGAATTAATTACCAATCGTGGTGTTTCCTTTTCCGTTTCCTTTTATTGGAATTGATAATAACACACCGAGAGCATCATAATTAGATATCATTTCTAATCTATCGATAACTCCTTGTATTTCTAAAGTTTTCTTTACTGGATCCAAGCTTAAAACAATAATAACATAATAACATTTTTAATAAGATTAACTTCATGTCGTTTTGGATGTTTTATCGGCAAATTTAGTTAAATCTACAATAAAATTAAGGTTTTTTTTTTCCAGCTGAATTAAGGTTAGGTTGTATTGTTGTCATTTGTAACAACCAAGATGGGCGAATTTCAATTCCACCAACTTCAAAAAAATAAAAACATTAAAAATTTTTTGTTTAATTAACACAATTTAAGGAATATTTGAAAGTAATTTCTATTAATTACTAGTTTTAATTCGTTTTATTAACCCAATTAAGCGATTAATTAATTAATCTAATTTTATTTCATTTTAATTTATGTGATTTACTTCCAGATTTATTTTTTGACATTTGAGGTTATGTCATTGTGAATTGTAAGCGGCTTCTTCACGTTTGAATTGATGATTTTCGTAAAATGAATAACTATATCGGTTATTACTACATTTCAATCAGCAAATAATCCTTTTTGGAAGCTTTAATGAAGGTAAATAAAAGTTTTTGCTTAATAATCTTGTTTGTATTTAAAGTTTAAAAAGCAATTTCATTTTAAACTACATTTAACGTTAATTTAACTTTAACGTTTAAGTCAGTTCATACTTTAAAAGTCGATTATGGCTTTTTAAAGCATAATTTTTAATGTTTTTAATATAAAGTTAAAATTATTTTGGAACATTACAATTAACTTGGAGAGTGTTGCGTAGCAACGACCAAGATGGGCGAATTTCAATTCCACCAACTTCAAAAAAATAAAATCATTAAAAAATATTTGTTTAATTAACACAATTTAAGGAATATTTGAAAGTAATTTCTATTAATTACTAGTTTTAATTCGTTTTATTAACCCAATTAAGCGATTAATTAATGAATCCAATTTTATTTCATTTTAATTTATGTGATTTACTTCCAGATTTATTTTTTGACATTTGAGGTTATGTCATTGTGAATTGTAAGCGGCTCCTTCACGTTTGAATTGATGATTTTCTTAAAATGAATAACTTTATATGGGTTATTACTACATTTCAATCAGCAAATAATCCTTTTTGGAAGCTTTAATGCAGGTAAATAAAAGTTTTTGCTTAAAAATCTTGTTTATATTTAAAGTTTAAAAAGCAATTTCGTTTTAAACTACATTTAACGTTAATTTAATTTTAACGTTTAAGTCAGTTCATACTTTAAAAGTCGATTATGACTTTTTAAAGCATAATTTTTAATGTTTTTAATATAAAGTTTAACTTATTTTGGAACGTCATAATTAACTTGGAGAGTGTTGCGTAGCAACGACCAAGATGGGCGAATTTCAATTCCACCAACTTCAAAAAAATAAAAACATTAAAAAAATTTTGTTTAATTAACACAATTTAAGGAATATTTAAAAGTAATTTTTATTAATTACTAGTTTTAATTCGTTTCATTAAGCTAATTAAACGATTAATTAATGAATCCAATTTTATTTCATTTTAATTTACGTGATTTACTTCCAGATTTATTTTTTGACATTTGAGGTTATGTCATTGTGAATTATAAGCGGCTTCTTCACGTTTGAATTGATGATTTTCTTAAAATGAATAACTTTGATGTGTTATTATTACATTACAATCAACAAATAATCCTTTTTGGATGCTTTAATGAAGGTAAATAAAAATTTTTGCTTAAAACTTTATTTATCTGATTTATTTTCAGATTTATTTTTTGACATTTGAGGTTATGTCATTATTGTGAACTGCCAAAATGTTTGAATTGATGGGTTACAAACACTAAAAAATCTTCAATTGCTGTTGTAATGAAGGTAGGTTAAAGTTTTTCCTTTTATCTTTCGATTAAATTAATAATTTTAAAATTAAACTCACCTAAACTCGGTTACTTTAATATTTTTCAAATCACTTGTGGTAACGTTGTTTAATATCAACCTAGAATTTGAATTTACCTCAAATTTTACTTCCGGAATAATAATCGGATCTAAATTTTGAATTTTATACTTTTTATCACCTAAAAAATGATTTTTAATAACATTTTTTAATCAATTAATGTTTAAATGAACCTTTTACTATTCTAGAAATCGCTTTATTTGCACTAGAAATTGCACATTTTGAAAACGATTCATCGGAAAGGCTACATTTTGTGATATAGTTAGCTAAAAAAATTATTTATCGATAATTAATTGATGAAAGTCGAAAAACTTACGTAAGTTTGCCCCCCAAATTGACTCGGCAAATAAGAAACAAACTAAAATAAACGATCTTATTTGTTTCATCTCTAACACTGTTTTTATTTAAACTGGAATTGTCTCGTTAAGAGGAGCGTTTATATACCATTATGGACAAAACGGCTTTTTTTATTTTCTAGTTGATGAACTTGACCACTTTAAATGTTTAATATTTACAGAATAAATGAAAACAGTGTTCAAGGTCGTATTGGTTTAATTGAGGTTAACAAGTAATGTTCCAAAAATAAAGGTAAAAAATCAGAACACATTTATTTCTTATAAACTCTTTCTTAAAGTAAATAAAGCTCACATTGGAGGTAATTAATCAAAAGATAACACTTAAAAAAGTTTAATAATGAAACACGTTTGCCGCCTTTTAAAATATTTATCACATTTAATTGCTGGTTAATTATATATATGTATTTTTAATTATATTTACTCAATTTCTAAGTGAATGTTTTCGTGATTTTTTATGTAACGATGTTTTTCCTGTTCAAAGAGCGTGACGAGTTCCTTTATAAAAACAGCGTGGAGATCATCTATTTGCTCTCGAGTTGGATCTTCCACTTTTTTAACATCAATCGGTCTTCCAACTTAAAAAAGAAAATCAAATTAAAAATTAAAATCAAATTTTTTTTAACATTTTTCACCTAAAGTTGTAACTGGTTTTCTCTTTGGAATGATTCCATAATTATATTGGAAAAATCCTCTTCCAATTGGAATGGCCGGCGCCCATCCGATGTATTTTTTTAACGCTTCTTGTATATTCCTAATTTTCGATCCTTCCGGGTTATTAACTTGATTGTATAAATCGGTTTCTCCAAACGAAATAACGGGTACTAAAGGAGCCCCGTTTTTTAGCGCTAATCGAACGAATCCTTTTCGATTTTTTAAAATTAATCTGTACTCCCCCGGCCGGCAATTAAAAGCTTCTGCAGCTCCCCCAACCATTAACGCGCAAACGTTTCCACCTTCCGGTTTACTTAAAACGTAATTAATCGAATCTTTCGAAGCGTCCAATCCCCCCAACCCCAACGCCAACTCCCTAAAGAACGGCATAACGTAATGTTGTTTTAAAGTCATCACATACGGGGTGTGATAAGGGAATAAATCGTGAAAACCTCCGGTTTTCGTTCCAAAAGCCGAAAACGGACCCGTCGATAACATTCCATGGGGGAAACAACAAAATAGGTAATTTTTATGGGGATCCAAGCTAACCCATGGTACTCTTTCTAAACTTAAAGGGAAATAATGTTTTAAGTATTTCCACCAAGTCCAATCTCTTATCCATTCCGAACGTCTTCCGCCGCGTTCGCTAATTTTGCTGTCTGGACCCCAAATCCAGATTAAATATAAAATTACGAGCCACCGCAAGGAGGAGAAAATGATGAGGTAGATTGATAAAAGGAGTCCTGCTAAACCTCCACCTATCATTATTACGAACCATGAAGCTGCAGCTACCGTTTGAAGACGACGCTTTAATGGTATGTTTAATGGGGCGAATTCTATCCCGAATATTTCCATCTAAAACAAAAAGGTTATTTAAGAAATAAGCAAAAAAATGGACGATTGCGTTTCATTAAGCCGAGGTCGCTTGCGGCCGAGGCAATAGATTATTACATCACTTCATACTGCCTCGGGCGTGAGGAACCTCGGCTTAATGAAGTGCATCAGATTGCACCTCATCTAATTAAACCGAGGTCGCTTGCGGACGAGGCAGTACAATATTGCATCAATTGTACTGCCTCGCTCGTCTTAATTTGAGTGAAAATAAATAATTGAAGAGCCTGGTGCAAGAATGGGATAAGTAACAATATGTAAATTGTTCAGCAAAGGCAAAAAACTTTTTTAATTTCATGTTTGTATTTAAAGTGATTATTTGATTTGTACAAATAAGAATGACAATTTTATCTGAGCAAATGTCTGTTTTTCCATATATTGTGAAATCATAGTAAAAAAACAAATTGTGGTGCAAGAAGGAGATATATGAATCCATATTTAATTTTTTTTGGGGGAGTAGGAGAAAGGATCAAAAAAAAAAAAATTTTTAACAACACGTAAAAGATATCAAAAATCTTCATCAGAAGAGCTACCGGCAGCTCTAAAGAAGCCACTGAATTGAAATGTGAGATTTTTGAAGCATAATACTTCAACTTCAAAGTTTTTCTTTTCTTCTTCTGTATCTGCATTCTCTTTCTTATTATTTAAGATGTCACACAAAGACACTTACAAAGCGTAAGTGTCTTTGTGCGCTATTCTGAACTTTATGTTAAAATTTTCTCGGAAATCTACAGAAATCATACGATATTTGTGGTTTGTATGGACGATTATCTTATTTTAGTCGGTGCATATCCGGTTGGTATTTTTGAAGGTATATCGTACATTATTGATATGTTTAAATTGCTGAATAGGTAATATTTTGTGGTTCTTTTGTGGCTATAGTGGGAACATCGTTTTGGGAAACTGTTGATATGCAACAAGGTCTGTTGGAGTGTCAACCACCTATGCGAATTCGTATCTTAATACAAACATAGGTACACATAGAAAGTTGTCTAACATCATCGACAATACGACGTCTGATCATAATACAGTTTAAACTGTCAAAATGGAATAAAAAGTTATAAATTTAATAATACCTATCTTGTATTTGTAAGTATGCTTTTCTTATTAATTTGTCATTTCTTTTTTTCCATCTAACAACCGTTTTTCCTCAGTTTCACCGTTGATGTGGACTTGTATCACTAGCCCTTTTAATTTTTTGTATATTTCGTTTCCACATTTCTTTTACTACCGTGCTTCTGTTTCACCCTTTGTTCCTCTTCAGACCTATCACTATCCATTTTAGTAAAGTTACTTTCACTGGAAGAGCTTATCACTGCGTAATGGTGTAACTATAGTATGTTGAATTAAAAATTTGTCAACTCTAAGCTACAAAACATTGCGAATGACATTATAAAACATCAATCAAACGCCACCAACCGCTCACGGTACAAAAATGTCATTATTTATGTGTAATGGGCAAAGAATAGTATGGGATTGTCTGGTGCAATAACGGTATAAACGCACGTAACTTATCCCATTGTTGCACTAGTGTACAACACGGAATAAGTGATTTTCTCTCACAATTCTGATTCAGTTGGCAGAACATAATGCGTATTTATGTTAAACCATAAATACTAATTTTTTTTAACCGCTTTTAACAGAAATCCCATTTTCTTAAAATTTTGCGTATATCCCCTTCTTGCACCAGGCTCTTCAATTGCGTTTCGTTAAGCCGAGGTCGCTGCGGCCGAGGCAATAGAGTATTATTTCATTTCATACTGTCTTGACCGTGAGTAGGTAGGCTCACCATACTTTGGCTAATGAGTTGACGATCAGGATATGTTGTATTAAAGAGCTCAACTACTTACTACGCCATTTTTTGATACTTAGGAAATTGTTTAAAGTGATTGGTTACCATAGTTACTCATGGCTACTGCTATTTTTATCATGTTATGCAAATTTGAATAGTTAAACTTTAAAGTAATTTTTCTCGAAAGTTTTCTTATGTAACCAATATTAATATTGACTGTACTGGATTCAGAACAATATCCTCTTTCATATTCCGCAATATTGCAAAAAATTTAAATCTTTAGACCCGTTTCAGGGATTTTTCCATAAATAACCCGTTTGTAACGATTTTATGGCGTATATCCGTTATTTTACGGACACACTGTATATTGGGACAAAATAAAATGTGTATATAATTAACAATAATTAAACAGTTTAATTTCTTTTAATAATTTTTTCAGATTAATATCATTTGATTATATAATTAACAACAATTTTGTCTAATGAACAACACAAAAAACAAAATACATACCCTATTGCTTCTAATTAAACTAGAAAAATGTATATTTTACCTGACAACTTAATATTGGGACAATGCAAAGTAACTTCCATAAAAATGGAACAAATTAAGATAAGTAAACTGTGGAAATAACGTAAAATGAAATGTTAAATTGCCGGTTTGTTCTAAAGCTTGTAACATTGTTGCTGTTGAGTAAATCTGTATTTATCAATTAAAATGGTGCGTGGTATCTGTACAGAGTCAAAAATCCGTGAATTAGTGATTAAAAATTATTGCCACAATAAAACAATACGTGAAAAAGCAGACGAACTTAATATTCCTAAAAGCACAGCGTGGAAAGTAATTAAACATTATGGAGAAACTGGGCAAATTTTAGAAAAAAAGGGTAAAAGTTCAGGTCGTCCAAAGTTAGTTTCTGATAGAAATAAAAGAATACTTGTAAAAATCTGCAAAAAAGGACGAAGAAATATTTTAAGACAAGTTACCGCTGAATGGAATAATGAAACTGGATTAAATATATCAAGGGAATGCTGTCGCAAATGGATTCTTAAAAGTGGATTAAAGTTTTACGAGGTTTACTTACAAGCAATAATTAAAAAATGTCGCTTTTAGAAAATTGTTGTTTTATAAGCAAAAGAAAAACCACTGTTAACAGAAAAACAACAGAAAGCCAGGCTCACATGGGCAAAATCTAAACTGTCTTGGTCAGCAGAAGACTTTTCCAGGATAATATTTAGCGATGAATCGAAATTTGCAATAAACATGAGGCATTTCATAAAAATTGTTTAAAACGTTGTGTAAAATTTCCGAAGGGAGTAATCATTCGGGGCTGTATGACAGCTTCAAGATAAGGATGCTGTGAATTTATTGGCACCGTGAACGCCGCAAAATATCAACAAATACTACAAAACAGCATACTACCACGTATCGTGCAGTTAAATGTTGGCGAAAACAAAATAATCTGTTTAATTGTTGTTATAGTATATTGTGTCTCAAGGGCAGAAAATAAGCATTAGCAGTCCGAGGCTATTAGCTAATAGATAAGGGCTGCTAATGCATTTCTGCACGTGTGACACACAACTGTTTTTCGCCTCCCATTAAACCAAACAAAATTGCAAAAATAAAACTAATTTTATAATTTTGTCGCAGTTTTGATTTCAACTGACGTTTAATGAAAAATTATGAGAAACGTCAAAAATTTTTGCAAATGTCAATGAAGACTAACTAGATTGTGATGAAAAACTATAAAGTAGGGACGTTCAGAGTTTTTTTAGTTCTGATATGATTTACTTTCAGGTATGGGAGGCGAAAAATTACATATAAATTCTATTATGTCCCAATATACAGGGTGATTCATAAGTAATGGGCCAAATTGTAAATGTACGTTCAGGAGGCCAAAATAATAATATTTTCATTAACAATAATGGGTCTTAGTCTGCTCCTTACTGAGATACAGGATGTTAAAGCGAAAAAAATAAAATAGATTTTTGTTAATAGATCAGCTACTTTTCTACATAATGACTCATAGTTGACTTATAGTTTTTGTAAGGGTAAACAATAATGTGTGAGAGGATTTGAGTTAACTCGTAGATGTCGCCACATGCGCCATATGAATTATGAAACGTCAATGAGCTTTTACGTTTAATGAATAGTTTAAAACATTTTATTGTTAAGTAAACTGATTCATTCTTGTCCTAACATAAATCAAAATGCCGAGACATAATCACTTTTCAAACGAAGAAATGAGAGACATGTTATGCGTTTACGCACAAGAACGTTTTTCTGGGCAAGCAGCATCCAGAAAATATCGTGAAATGTACCCTTACAGAAGGCAGCCAAACCGGAAGATATTTCAAAATATTTATAATCGATTGGGTGAAACAGGTTCATTTCGTCCAAAATATCATACAGGACGTCCTAAGATTATCACTCCGCAGCAAGAAGATGAAATTTTGGTAAGAATTGCGCAAAATTCTGAAATAAGCACTCGTCGATTGTCTGCAGCAACTGGAATAAGCCAACCATCCGTGACTAGAATTTTANTAATTCATATGGCGCATGTGGCGACATCTACGAGTTAACTCAAATCCTCTCACACATTATTGTTTACCCTTACAAAAACTATAAGTCAACTATGAGTCATTATGTAGAAAAGTAGCTGATCTATTAACAAAAATCTATTTTATTTTTTTCGCTTTAACATCCTGTATCTCAGTAAGGAGCAGACTAAGACCCATTATTGTTAATGAAAATATTATTATTTTGGCCTCCTGAACGTACATTTACAATTTGGCCCATTACTTATGAATCACCCTGTATAGTTGTTAGGGCTCCGGCCTTGTTATTGCCTCGGCCGCAAGCGACCTCTGCTTTACTTGTAGGGGGAATTGATGATTGCATTTCATTAAGCCGAGGTTGCTCACGGTTGAGACAGTATGAAATGAAATAATACTCTATTGCCTCGGCCGCAAGCGACCTCGGCTTAATGAAACACAATCATCCACTTTCATTCAAGTTAAGCCGAGGTCGCTTGCGGCCGAGGTATTACAATTGATAAAATGGATGATTACACTTCATTACGCCAAGGTTGCTCACGGTTGAAAGAGTATGAAATGAAATAATACTCTGTTGCCTCGGTCGCAAGCGTCCTCGGCTTTACTTGTAGGAAAAATGG